CTATTACAAGTGATATATTTATTCTTCGGGATAAATGTATTGCTTGTAGTATTGTATTAAATCATTTAAACTATTTAAAAATGTGAGACTCGTTTGGTCTCATTTATTTTAAAAATTAAAATGTTACTTCTTTAAAAAAGTTATATTTATATTTAAATTATTTTCAAAATCACAAAATCATCACCTTTTTAAACTACGAAAGTGAAGTTGAACAATAAAACGGCCGACAGTTTGGCACCTCAACTTCAATTTTGAATGCATGCCTCACCTTTTTTTTACCATCAAACTCATCATTTTTTTGTATTCAATCATCATTGAGATGCACGCCTCTTTACCTATGCATGAGAATGTGTAATAACTTTTTAAAAGTTAAAATGGCGGTATTCATTATGTGATATGTAATATTTGTGCGGTATAAATGTAAAAAAGCAAAGTCTAGGTGTTAGATATGTAAATACATTGGAATGAGGCGGTATGCACGTAAAGGCCCCCTTTTAAACTAAAATATAGATTAATTTCTTAGATGAAATAAACGTTAAGCAAAGAAGAAAATTATGGCAGCAAAAATCAGAGGATTTGCTTAGTAGAAAGAGGGTCCAGGCATGAAATTTCTAATTTTCTTGAAATTTTAATTAAATTGAATACTCGTAGGTATTTTTTCTATTTTTTAAAGCATAGTATACCTGTTTGTATTATATATGAAATATTTTCAAAATATTGTCATTATATAATCGATCATTTAATACAATTTATCTATTAAATTAAAAGAAAGCAATTTAAATTATATAACCATGTTGTGCAAAAAAAAGGGCATTAATTAATAGTATATCTGTATAATGTATTATTTTCATGTTAAATTTTACAATATAAGAAATATAAATAAAAATACAATTATAATTAGAAAATTTATCTCTTTTACTTTATGGGTATCATATGATTGCACTACACATTTTAATATTTTTCGAACTCATGACCATATTTGGAAATTCAGAAATACAAATTTGTTTCATATGTAGTTGCTTAATTTTCAAATTTATCATGAAGCATATTCTTAATAAGTTATTTCAACAATTAAGAATTAACCGAAACTGAAATTAGCACTGATTGCCGGAGCCTATCATTTGCCTCAATTCTATGCTGTTATAGTTAATCAGGAATTACACAGTACTGTCACTCCTGTTGCAATAACTTGCTGCCTCCCTTCAATAAACGTAAATGAATTCGAGCAATCAGCAAGTGGAAATTTGCTGCACTAAACCTATTGCAGGTTCAACGTATATATCCTCTAAATCTAAACTCACCAATAATTCAGTAGCAAATCACCATCTTTAGGGGGATTTGCATTCATACCACACATATCTTTCTTATTGTAGTTACATATCTAACACCTTTTTTTTTATACATACATAGAATTCAAATCTTTAATATTGCATAGAAAATACCATCAGGTTTAATTTTGCCAACAATGTGTCAGTGAATCACTATTTATTCATGAGGATTTACATACATACGAACAATTCTTATGTATTTGCATATCTAATACTTAAATAGTCTTTGCATAACATTCAAATAATTAGTGCACATAAAAAGCATTGCTATCAATAACTTTTTTAAAGCGAAATACACATTTTCATGCATAGATTTTAGCAGGTTTATGACATTGAACTGTTATATAAATATCAAACTTCTAAATACTGAAAGAATGGTGTGGTATGCATTTGAATTTATTTATTTAATTCTTTTTATTTGAGATCAATTCCTTTTTGTTTTTGTTTTTTCTTTTATTTTAATAAACATGTTTGCTTTATTTTTTTTTTACATGTTTTATTTTTATTTTTTATTTCTAAAGCAATTAACATGTCCTTGGAAAAACTCAACATATTAACATATCTTTCAAAACACTCAATAATATTTAGAAGATTTGAGTGTTTTAAAAAACAATCATATCTAATCAAACGTATCAAAGATGTTTTGCTTCAAATCAAAACACAAATATAACAAAATAAAAACAAAAAATAAAATAAAAAACAATAATAAAATGGATCCCAAACGACCCAAACATAGCATGCTTGGCCATTTGATTACGTAGGATTGCTTTTAAAATACTCAAAGACATCTAAATGTTGTTTTGAGTGTTTTAAAAAGCATTTTAATTTGTTTTTTAGAAATAAAAAGTAAAAATATATAAAAAACATACTAAGAAAATATATTTTTAAAAGACAATTTTAAAAATAGAGTTTTTCTTTAAAAAAATTAATAATAAATAACCACACTTTAAAAATAATATTTGTAAAATGGGCAAAGCCGCCTGCTAGGTGGCGACTTTGTTGTGTGGTAAATTTTTTCTTTATTTAATTTATTTATTATGATTGCCATCTTCCTTCCCCAGTCATCGAAACAAGTTTTGAACAAGTTTATCGGCGGCCATCGACTTCAAACAGATTGTTCTGTTTTTCTGAATCTCACTTCATCCTTTACCACCATTTCACTCTCTCTACACATACCCGAAAAATCATATTTTTATTTCTTTCTTCACCGGAGAGCTTTACGAGGTCATTTTTGAGAGGGATCACACCTCGAGAAGAAAAAGCAGGAAGGTATGAAAGACAAGCCAATGGGATGAAAGAAGTCCATACGAGGGCAGTGCACGTAGAGTTTCGAAGGGAGAAGAAATGCATTAGAAACGGAGTTAAGAGTATAAAAAATGCAGTTTTGAGGAAGAAGATTATGCATTGGGCAAAGATTTCTCAACGCCACATGACAAAACTAGGGATGGGAGGAAGACAACAACATGGAAAAGTCGTCATGTGATAGATTACTTTGCGCCATGTGACAGACGACTTTGCGTCATGCAACATGCGATTTGCCCATTTTACAAATTTTATGTTTAGTATGCCATTTTTTATATTAATTTTTAAAAAAAATTCTATTTTAAAAGTTTTTTCTTTTTAAAAAGAGACGAAAAAAAAATCCAAAATTAAAGGTTTTGTTTGGGATCAATTTTATTTTTATTTTTATTTTTTTCTTTTGTGTTTAAAATAATGTTTGTTTAGTGTGTTTTTTGTATATATTTTTATATTTTTATATTTTTTGTCTAAAAAAAAAGTAAAATATTTTTGGAAACACTCAACAACATCGATTTTTGGTGTTTTTAAAAAAATAGCCATATTTTAATACCAAATATGCTCTATTTCAAATCAAACATAAAGACAACAACATAAAATAAAAGACACAAGTTGTTCCCAAACGGCCCTTGATAAAATGGATCTTCCTGACATTTACTACGGCGGTTGCATGCATAAATTATAATTTTGTGAGAAACTTTAATCTGCTGTAGTTTGTTTCGTGC